GTCAACATAACAGAATATCATTTTTGATGGTGAATATCTTTTTTAAATGTCCATATAACCACTCTGAAGATGGCTCATGTGAATCGAAAGCTTAGGACCAACTTAATACAAAAATATCCAATTGTTGGACAGTTTTTATCTTTATTTTCTCCCGAAGTTAAAGCAAATATACGGAATTTTGAATGGCTCATGATCAAATATAATAGACATTTGTTGCTTGCTATATTTAACAATATATGTTTGAATATATATATATATATATATATATATATATATATATATATATATATATATATATATATTTTAAAGGTATTCTATATTTATGAGTTCAAGTGCTCAATATCAGTGATAGAGATAGAGTGTATATAAATATAAAAATGGGCATTGAAGTCAACACCCAGAGGCGGAGGCCATGTGCGTTGTGTTTTTGTTCGACTATTTATATATACATATACATATATATATTTATATATATTATGTCAGTGATGCATTGTGGGTAGTCGTATTATTATAAGTTTATTTTGGTAGGCAGTAACGGTTGTGTTTCGAAAATTTTAAGGGCTATTGAGTGGACATAATTGTGGATTCGAATGACATTTTTTAGCTATTTATAGTGTTGTCAGTTAATATTTATATATTATTGATTATTTCATTGTTCGTTATTATTACATCGTTTTCTTGTGTTTATCTGTGCGTTCGTGGTTTGTTAATTTGTTTATTATTTACTTAGTTTATTTGTTTTGATTAATTTATTTTACTTCTTTTTGTTTATTTATTTTATTTTATTTATTTCCGTTTATTCTTGTTCATTTTCAGTTTTCGATTTTTAAGTAACGCAGTAAAAACTTTCTCGATGTGGTCTGATAGTTTTGATCTGGAAATTTAATTATGGCTATTTTTTCCTTCAGGCAGAGTTTTCAATTTTGGCATTGATGTTCTTTTCCTTATTTTCCATGATATTTTTGGTGTGATTTGGTTTTTGTATTTAATCTCCCAGATATGTTTAGAATACATTGTGCTGTTTGTGTATTTACTATTTGTAAAAGTTGTTTCTTTGTTTCCAGGGTCCTTCAGTTACTCCTATGTATATTTTTTCTTCGTTATCTGTTGATTTTAGAGTGGCTTGGTATATATATATATATATATACATATATATATATATATATATATATATAATATTAAGAAATGGGCAAAGTCCGACAATTTATTAAAGACATTTTTGTGTTTAACATTCTTTTTATTGATACAATTTATTATAAACAGAGCATTTACTTAAATACTTGTATCTATAAAAAGAATGTTAAACATAAAATGTCTTTATATATATATATATATATATATATATATATATATATATATATATATATATATATATATATATATATACCAAGCCATATATATATAGTGGAGGTGAGAGTGGGGACAGCTGACACAAATGTATCAGGGCCTTCAAACCCCTAGGGACTTAAGAAAGTGCCTTTAGGTTTTTAAGGGTGGTCCCTTTACAAAAATTAGAAAGCAAAATTACAAATCAGTAATTTATTGAAAAAAATACGAAGACTCAAACCAGTTCCCAAATCACCTTAAAAGTGCATTTTTCGAACTTTCGTTGAAGCAAAAATATGATGATTTCCTCAAAGTCTAATTCTCATGCCAAATCACACTCGATCGCAAGGGTTGCCAAGTAAGACACACACACACACACGCACACACACACACGCACACACACACACACACACACACATATATATATATATATATATATATATATATATATATATATATATATATATATATATATGAATTCCCTAGAATAGAATCTAGGTAGAACTCAATGTCCAGGACAAAGTAAGAATATAATATAAAAGGCTCAAAAACTCATATTCCGTGGTTATAATTTATTACATTGGAATCGAAATCACGATCCAATTCATCAGACCTACAAGTTCAAAAAGAAATCGGAAAATTTTTATATATATATATATATATATATATATATATATATATATATATATATAAAAGTGAACATTGAAGTCAACACTTAGAGGCGACAGTCTGTTTCATGCTGGACGCAATTGTCAGGCCACCATATATATATATATATATATATATATATATATATATATATATATATTCAAAATCATTAACATATGCATGTCATAACTACACAAATAGCCATTCGGTTTCAATATTTCTGGTGTCTTGTATAAAGAGTTCAAAACCAATCAAATTCCACTCAATAGGGAAAACATTGGTACGCAATCTATGATGACCAATCAGAATACAAGTATATTCTAATTCAAAATAACGTGACAATATACCCTAAGTACAATCTATTAATACATTAAAGTTAAGATTAAATTAAGTAGAAATCACTATAACTAATTAAGTTTTAATTTGACAATAAAATTAAAAATAACGTTTCCCTTTCTGAGGATAAATAAACGATCAAAGCTCATCTCAAAACGCAGACACGAAAACAAATTTTTACTCAGTTACTTAAAAATGGAAAACTGAAAAGAATAAATAAAAATAAATAAAATGAATAAGCAAAAACAAATCAAATAAATTAATCCAAATAAATAAATAACGTAAATAAACAAATTAAGAAACCACTCCCGCCAAAATAACCGTTAGAATAGACTACCCAGAATGCACCACTGACCGGTGCATATAAATAGTAGAGAGAAAACACAACACATGTGGCCTGATGATTGCTTTTAGCATGAAACAGTCTGTTGCCTCTGAGTATTGAGTTCAATGTTCACTATATATATATATATATATATATATATATATATATATATATATATATATATATATATATATATATGTATGTATGTAATCGCAATATAATCTCAAAATTTCGGTATAAACGCAAATTAGGGAACAATTGAATGTAGCGAAAATAGAATTGCATCTTGCGATGATGTCATGCTTGCAGCTTCTCACTGCCTAGGATGAATGTTGCTCGACTAGCAACGAATCCCTGTCAAGCATTGTTCTTGCATGTACGAAATGATTGCTAAAAGTTCTTAGCCCAACCAATAAACCTTTCCAAAAAATAAATTCAGAGAAGTCCTTTAGACCGCGAACACCCTTACGACTATATTATGATATAAGGACATTGCTTGCTCATTTATTTCTAACCTTGAATTCACGGCAAATATCAAAGTAAGAAGAATACAGAACCCCAGTCAACAAAGCACTTGCTTTAACCCTAAAGCCAATCCTGGAAAATTTTGTCCCCTGTCTGCTAAGTTTTTTTTTTTTATAAAATCTTTCTTTCCAGTATCGGAAGAAGTGATTAAATTCCGGTCGGTATTAGCCTTGATAAGGCTTTTGCCCTTTCATGCCATATGCGACCGTGTGGCATGTCTCCCGAGGATGGCCAGAGAACTTTATGGTCGAAATCACCATTAAAAAAGCCGATAACATTTTTAACTTAATAACGCACCAATATATTCCGCGTCTCTCTTATCTCATCATTTGCAATGAACGTAAATAATCTTAATTAATGTGCGTGTTGGGATATAACAGGCAGCAAAAATATTTATATTCTCTCTTACATAATATTAGATTGAACCAAATTCTGGCTAGAGAGATTTTAAAATTAAATAAGCACTGCCAATATTTTTCATTGCCTTGTAAAATCGACGGCATTCAATCTACAAAAATTATTGGTAAAATTGATAATGAAGAAAGAAAGAAAAAACTGACAGCAAGGTTCAACCGCAGCAGCAGTAGAAAATAGAAGCCTTTGTGAGTGCAGTGCTAAGAAGCACCAGTCTTCATCAGCAGGAGAGTTAGCTTCCAAGTTCTTCAATCAGAATTTTCCCAATGGACAATAACCAAACGGATTTTATGTTTTTTTTTGTTTGTAAATATAGAATTTTAAATCAATAAACAATTTAAGTTTGAAATATGATCATTGCCATCAGCGAAACGACGGGCATCGAACGAATTCTAAACAATTTATAATGATAATAGACTCCCTAGAAGCACGCGTTACTTCTTCTGAAAGACGTTACTTCTCTTATATAGGATGGAAGGGTATTTATATGTATGTATTCAATAAGTTCAGATTAGCAACAGATTTCAAAAGAGTTATTAACTGGGGTAAGGAATGGTTTATTAATTTTAACATCCCTAAAACGAAACTGCTCTCTCTTAACCGTCTTGGGGGGGGGGGACTCTTTTTGCCTTTCATGAACATGGCTGATGCTAACCTCCGGGAAAATGATTCTCGGGTTAATATTTTCCGCTGACATGAAGTAGAAAGATTATATAGATTATATTAAGTTTTCTTCCAATTTTCATCAGAGTATTGTAATAAGGGAATAAAGTGTTGCTGCCAACACTTGAGTTTGAACATAGATCGCCAGTGAGCAAGCGCAGGCAATCCCATTATTGAATTTAATAGACCACGTGACCATAGAAGAAACGCATATATGTAGGAAGTAGCTAACGACTAACGATCGCTATTTCTAGTCTATCCTCTATTACTATACGGACCGCTATTCTCTACTCTGTTCACTATATTATTCCTCTATTCAGACCACTATTCGGTGTTTACTTTTTGAGCGTGTATTCTCGAGTAAGTGCAAGTTTTATTCGAAGGCGTCTGACACCATTATTGTTCAACGGCGTTACTATAGTTGTATCTGCGATTACAAAGTCTCTACTACAACGAGCATTACGAATGTGACAACGAGTATTCATTGACATCACAAACGTGTCAACGAGTGTTTGTTGACTTCACAAAAAGTATATTGTTTTAAATTAGAGAGTAGGGATGAGAATGAATGAATCAAGTTTTCCAAACATATTCTGGCGAAAAAATCTTAGCACAACACAGTGAGCCAATTTTGCTAGCAGCAGACCTAGTAATGGATTCAATATAATTCTTGCATCAAAATTCTTTAGTCTTTCCTCTTAATAATAATATAAAGATTTTGACGATGAAATTTTGACTTTATTAAGTTTTGGATATTTTTTCATCAGGTATCATTATTATGAGAGTGAGATAGAGAGGGGGGAGAAAGAGGGAGAGAGAGGGGGAGAGGGGGAGAGAGAGAGTAGGAGAGAGAGAGGGAGAGGGAGAGAGAGAGGGAGGGAGGGAGAGAGAGGTGCGCAAAGGTGTGCTGAAAGGTATCACTCGTCCGAAATCTGAACAATGGCCCAAAAAATTTGGACGTAAATTATTTTGAATTAAAATCTTTGTATTAAAACTAAATTTTCTAATTTAATCGATGGACCCTTATTTTGAGTGTGTAACACAGACATGAAAGATTTTGGGTTGCTCATTTTTTTTATTCCAGTTCTTTCCAACTGTCAGGCGGCGTCATTAATTTCATGATGAAAGCATCCAACCGGATTTTATGACTAAATTAACATGTCCCGAATATATTTATTGCCAAAGAATGACGCCTGTTCATTAAAGCGCACACCATCTGGATTTTAAATTCTACCCGTCTTTGAAACACCAAACTGATCTGTAAATTCTTTACTGCCGTTCCAATCAGAAATCAGTTCTCGTATAGCATCAGTAAAACTATTCAACGCGTGAAGAATATGTTCTGAAGACAATCAAAGACGTTTAGTCTGCAAAAAACATTGACAGATTTATAAAGTGAAAAAGAATGAAAGAAATTGGCGTGGGGTTAATTGCATGTTTCGTGGGTGCTTTGAGCCGGGGAAGAGGTTAGGCTTAGAATGAGATCTTGTTAAAAAAAGAAACCCTTTGTCTTGAGAAGACATTACTTTCAGGGAAATGCCGTTCTGCAGGAATGGTGTAGTACCGGATATTTCCTTCAGAACCTGTTAACCAAAAAACCAAACATCGGTTCGTTAATCACCACTAATTAGACACATACACACATAAAAACACACGCACTCAACTACATACATGCACTCTCACATGCACGCACATATATACACACGGATGCACACATACACGCTCACACACACACAGACTCACACACACACACACACGCACATATATATATATATATATTCATACAAATAGTAGATTAGTAAAGTTAATGATATAAAATGGCGAAATCTCTTCGCGAACCAAAATTTAACCTACGAACAACTCCATGAATGTTATGATCCTTGTTTTTGATAACTACAAGCTGTATAAGGTCTTTTTTTAATCTGCAAGTACTTTCAACTCTACATTCAGTCATCCTCAGGCATGGAAATTATTTTGTTTTTTAGTAAATCCAGGTAGCATTGGAGACGAAAGATTAAATGCGAATCGAAATGTTTTTTGTTTTTTTAGAAATGTGTTATGGTTAACGGATAAAAACTTTTGGAGCGTGCAGTCGCAACGCTAAGGTTGAATTGTTTTGAAAATTTAAGAGAATGCGTTTTTTTGCTAATATGGTAATTTGAGAATTTTTATGTTGTAGGAGTTTATCAGTCAATGAGGCATGAACTAAATTGTTCAATAAACAGAGTAATGTCTCAGCTGTTATCGAAAATTTGCACGTCGGATCAGTTCTTTTTATATATATATATATATATATATATATATATATATATATATATATATAATTATTTAAAATATCTTACTGGAATTCTCAAGGTTTTTATAACACTATTGGGCACTACTTTGAGCAATGAGAATGTATAATTACTCTCCAAGCTTAACAGAAGAATTGTGATGAAATCGATCTTAAATGAATATGACATGTTCACCATTAATTAATCATGTGTGTGTGTGTGTGTGTGTGTGTGTGTATAGTTACGAATATTTACATAAACAACTGTAACATGTTTCGGAATGTATACGTCACCTTAAAAAAATATACATAGACAAACACAGAAAGCATAGAATACAGAAAAATGGATCTATAGAATAGATATTTTTGGAAGATGGCGTACGTTGAACCAAGACTCTCTCTTCCACTGGTGTCTGCTACGTTGGGTGGTTGTTTTTATTTAGCGACATATCAACACCTCTGTGGGTTGTTTAAATGCCGAAATCTAAATATTTTCTACGCAATCTTATTTTATTTTATTTTTTTGACATAATAATGCATTTAGTGATACAAGTTTTACTATTTAACCCATAGCTGGGAAGAAACAGTGAATTTATACCTTTCCAAGGGTACTTGTATGTAAATGAATATAACACACCCAACTGGAATTGGAACTCAGCTCTCCGATGAACAAATCCGAGCTATTATCCATTACACCACCCGCACATCCGAGCTGACAGCACCTGATATTCCCAAGTGTTCAACCATCTTGACACACTGACCATGCTCTGATGCAAGTCCTCGGAAACCTAATTTGATGGCTTACGGCCACAACACGTCGAAACACCGGTTCCCGTACGATCACCAAAGTTAAGCAACGTCAACCTTGGTCAGTACCCAGATTTGTGATCGCAGGTGTAAGCTTGAATATGCTCGTCGTATAGAGGGATTATGGTCTTATCACGTCGAAATACTGGTTCCTGTACGATCACTAAAGTTAAGTAACGTCAAACCTGGTCAGTACCTGGATGAGTGATCATTTGGGAGTACAAGGTGCTGTAAGTTTGAATGTGTGCATAGTGTAATGGATAATGGCTCATAATTGTTAATTGGAGAGCCGAGTTCTAATTCCCGTTGTGTTCATTATAATCATTTACGTGCAAATCCCTTGGGAAAGGCATGGATCCATCTCTTTCCCCCATGCTATGGGTTAATTTAATAGTATTATTAAATTCATTATTATATTCAAAAACATAAAAAATATTTAAATTTCGGCATTAAATATTTAAAATATCTAAATTTCGGCATTAAATATTTAAAATATTTAAATTTCGGCATTAAATAACTTATCGAGATTGATATGCCGCTAAACAAAACTAAGCAACCGAAGTTGTAAGTAAATGTCGAAACGTGGATAGCAAGATTCACGAGTAAAGAGCAGGCATAAAAATATTCGTTTTTGGAACTCGTAAACAGCTCTAGTTCTAATTTTTCATACTAACATTTATTCAGTAAGGGTTTGAGAGCCACTCAAGATAGAGAGTTACTGATAAAATCGTTATCATGAATGGGGTGTGATGTGAGTGAAAGTTAAAAGTGATGATGAAAAGGCTTAAGAGAATATATATCGATTGAGTCTTGTCTTGGAGACATTAAGAGCAGTTCGCGGGGAAAAGTTGTTTGAGTGGAATTGTCGATTTAGGGTTTGAACGGTGATAATGAACAGGGCCGGTGCGTAGTACCCCTGACACCTAACCCCTGACACCCAACCCCCAACCAGGTGGGATTGCAAGCCTGATCGTTATCTTAACAGCCTTTGTTTTGTTTTTTGTTTTTCTCCCTAGATTTTTATACACGTTACAAATTAAACAAAGCACAAGTGACTATTAAAGGATGAAAATTTTCGCGGATTTTGACGTCATCCTGGGGTCTTTGTTTCGTTCAAATTCATGAGTTTGTTTTGCCCATGCTAAGTGTCGAAGAAAAACAACATAAAATTCACTATTTTTTTTTCCATAATGTTGAATGTGTTAAAATTCTTCAACATTTTAACAAGAAAAATCTCCAGTTGATGTTAAAAATTACCGCAAAACATTGATTTATTTAAGATGGAATGATCTATTATGACATGTCTCTGAATTTTATTTAAATACATTGTATTTATTTTCAATTTTTCTAGTTGAATTGTTCATCTATTTTGCATATAAACCATTATTGTACATAATTTGTATTTTATATGAATACTACCTTATGAAAATTGAGATGTAGTAGAGTGGGGGTCCCATATCATAGATTGTGGGGGTCCCATATCATAGATTGTGGGGGGTGACAAGAGACACTTGCACCGGTTGAAAACAGAGGTCTCGTGCCCCACCGGTCATAGATTCCGGTGGGCACGAGACACTTGCATCGGCCCTGACAATGAAACAATGCTAGCTTGGCTTTTTTTGAGGAATTGACAATTACAAAGCAGTTCGTTTTTTTTTTCTCTCTCACAGAACTGCAAAAGCTCAAACAGTAGAGAGATTAAAATGGATGAAAAATTTTCCCAGATTCTAATGTCATTCTGTTTTTTGTTTTTTTATCATATCCATGAATTTGTTTTGCTAATGCTAAGTCTCAACAAACATTATATAAAATTCATTATTTTTTGTCTATAATGTTGAATATGTTAAAATCTCAAGTTGAACATTTTTGATTTATTTAAGATGAAATGGTCTATTATAACAGATCAATAATTTATATTTAGATACACTGTGTTTATTTTCAATTTTTCTAGTTGAATTGTTCACCTATTTTGCTTCATATGATCCATTATTGTACATAATTTGAAAATTATTTATAATAATAATTGTGTAATAATATTTATGTATATTTAATATGTATAATATTTATCATAATAAGTAATACAATTTATTATAATTTGTACAGTATTTATCTATATCAATTTATTATTATTTATATTTATTATTTATATTATTATTTTTATTTATATTTATTATCATATATTTATATAGATATATATTTATATATGTATATTTATATTATTATCATATATTTATATATAGATTTATATATATGTATATTTATATTTATTATATTTATATATTTATATATATATTTATATATATGTATATTTATATCTATTATTATATATTATATATATATTTATATATATACATTTATATTTATTTTATTATATTTATATGTATATTTATATTTATTATTATATATTTATATATGTATATTTATATTTATTATATTATATTTATATATATATTTATATATATATGTATATTTATATTTATTATTATATATTTATATATGTATATTTATATTTATTATATTATATTTTATATATATATTTATATATATGTATATTTATATTTATTATCATATATTTATATATGTATTTATATTTATTATATTATATTTATTATTATATTATCATTATTATTATTTATGTTATATTATAGTATATTATATTAATTATTATTTATATTATTTATTATTTATCAGTTTATTTATTTGTACATTATTTATTTATATGAATACAACCTTATGTTGAGATGTAGCAGAATTTCTCATATCATAGATTCCGGTGGGCACGAGACCCTTGAACTGGTCCTGATGATGAAACAAAACTAGCTTGCTTTTTGAGGAATCGACAGTTACAGGCCA